GATAAATGTGGTTAACAAAGGGTTTATTAAGAGCACTTTATGATTTAAAACATTTTACACAGTAAACTTTAACTTTATAACATTTAAAAAACAGCAAACATGAGGCTATTTAAACTATCGTTCAGCAAAACAGGCGACCCAAAATTATGCGAAGCACTGTCCCGAAATCGCTAAGATTTAAACCATCATTAAGCGAAACAGGCGACCCAAAATTTAATCGCTATGCGAAGCATGGTCCCGAAATCGCTAAGAGATAATCGCCCATGGGAAACATAGTTAAATGGAGCGCAAAAATGCTCCGAAAAAGTCATCGCTAAGCGAATTCATCATTAAATGAAGCGCTCGTTAAGCGAGGCACCACTGTACTTTAGAACCAAACTGGAAGTTGCCTCTGCATTGCTCTTTGCTTCTTTATTGGCTTCAAAAAGAGTCAGCATCAGTAACTGTTCTTCTATCGCAACCACAGCACAGTTGCCTTCCATAGTATATAAACACAAGATTGTTCACCTTCTACTGCAAGCTAAAAATGTCCCACGTGAATCAATCACACCTTTTTTAAAGAACTCATGCAGATACAGTACCATCAAAGAGTTAGGCTGAGCTAAAATCCGTTGCCAAAGTAACATATAACTACAACTTCACATGTACTGGCTGTATAATGCATGGGAAAGCTTTGGGTGCTTTACAGATCTGGAAACTGGTGCAATATACAGTACATAGGGGGTCTTCACTTGAGAACTTAATCCATCTTGGAAGGCGGTTCACATGGTAAATCTTCTTCCCACGTGAATCAATCACACCTTTTTTAAAGAACTCATGCAGATACAGTACCATCACAGAGTTAGGCTGAGCTAAAATCCGTTGCCAAAGTTACATATAACTACAACTTCACATGTACTGGCTGTATAATGCATGGGAAAGCTTTGGGTGCTTTACAGATCTGGAAACTGATGCAATATACAGTACATAGGTGGCATTTGCCTAAGGCTAGCTTCTCAAATATGCTAGAACACACATGGTAAATCTTTAGCAACCAAGTTCTGCTGTGGAATTCTTAGCTGAGATAGCCAGCATTTCTACAATAAAACATTCAAATAAAGGTGTATGAATATAACCACTTTGCCCCCCCCCCCGGTCTTTTAAGATGATGTAGCTACAATCCTTGACATCCAGAGTGGGCCATTTATGAAGTGCAAGGGTAATATCCTGCTGATGTTGATTCCACCATAAAGCTTGACTTCAGAAGTACCTCCTTGGAAAGCCCCCTGTTTGTAAGTAAATTCACACTCCTAACAGTGTGAATTTGCTGTAAACAAGCTGTATAGAGAATGTATGCTTTCCTTAAAGGAAAGAAATAGCACTTTAAAATAAAAGCAACTTTTTTCCCCACCAGCATCCTGCCAAAGTTAAGTGAAAGCAGTGATCTGAGGGAGAGTGGGGGCTTAAAAAAAAGTAGGGGACCTCACCAGGCCTGCAGGCAAAGTACTCCCCACTTCTGCTATATACACTTGTCTGTGAGCAAACAACTCTGGGCCAAGAAGGCTTTTTTCTGATAGTGCAATTCTCTCAAGTTTTCTAATTCATATTTCCTATCAGACAGTTAAATTTATTTAACATTAATAGTATAACCACTTCAGAAAAATGTTCAGCATAGGAACACCTTTCTCACCTCCTTCTCCTCTTCTCTGGCCAGAAAAACAACAGACCAGGAAGATAATTTAGGTAAGAGGCTTTGATTTTTAAACATTCAAATGGCCAGTCCCATTCAGACACTCAAGCCTGCCACAGGGTCTGAAACAGCTTTCGAACCAAACTGGCTAGGCCAGCACTATAAGAGAATGAAGGCATGAATTTGCATTTAGTTTCACCGGCATTTCCCTTTTTATCACTGCTTCCTTATGCCAGAGTTCTTTTTCAGACACACAAAGTTCCCTAGTTAGCACTGACAGAGAGACAGCAGCTCTCTAGGATTCCAACCAGTCCTACCATGAAATTATTTATTTATTTAAAATACCCCCACCCCCACCCCCGCTTTTTTTCCTTGAAAATGATTTAAGGCGGCTTACAACAATGAAAGGCAATATTTAATGCTGAAAACAATGAGTATACAACAATGCTAAACATCATTAAAAGATAATTAAAAATTACAAACAATGAATAAGGAGGCATCTTACAACAATTAACAGGCAATAATGAGGCAAAGATCAATAAGTATACAATGAAATGCCAGGGATGGACCTTGGGAACTTCAGCATACAAAGCTAATGATGGCTTGTCCATTAGGACAAGAATGACAACTGCTTAATTCAGGCTCAGGCTATGCTATTTTTAAATAAGTAACTTATTTTTGCGTTCCTTAGGGGTACAGCAGCACTTTGCATCTCACGATGAGAGCGCAGCTTTGAAGCTGCAGACAGAGGCTGAAGAACATCAGAGAAAAGTCTGCGTATACAGTAGGTGAAGCTGAGTAACAAACCAAAGAAACATCTTTTGGCCAAAACTGGGATGGTTAAATCAGCCAAACAATAAATACCACTAAGCTGTAGAATCCCTCTGTCTGAAATTATGCAAAACTTCAGACTCAAAGACAGTCAGCAACAGACTATGTAAGAACAAAGCCAGTCATGGGAAAACAAATTACAGTGGTGCCCCGCATAGCGATGTTAATCCGTTCCAGGATTAACGTCGCTATGTTAAATCGTGGCTGAACAGAACAAAAAACCCCATAGAAATGCATTAAATCCTGTTTAATGCGTTCCTATGGGGCAAAAACTCACCGTTCAGCGAAGATCCTCCATAGGGGTGGCCATTTTTGCCGCCTCGGTAAGCGAGGAATCCGTCCTGAAAACAGCGGCGGCCATTTTGCAACCGCCCATCAACTGTTAAAAAAGCATTGCTTTGCCACGACCATGGCAGAGCAAAATTCCACCACCAGCCAGCCCCCCATGATGCCCTGCCTCCTTGGCGGGGCTCTCCCGGGGCGCAGACGGGCAGGCCAGAGGGGCAGGATGCGTCCGGGCCACTGCCTGGGCAGCCGCGGGGCAAACACACACTGCTCAGGGCACGGGGCCTCTCCCTCCTGGGGCCAGGCTCCTCCGCCTCTCCTCGGTCCTTGGCGGTCCCAAAACCCAGCGAGCCTTTCCAGGGCCGGCCCGCAGACAGGGCATCGGCTGCCAAAGGTGCTGGGCTCCAGCCTCTGCCTCCGCCCCCCTCCTGCCCGTGGTGCCCGGCAGGTGGATGCGGCCGTGCGACCCGGGTGCCGCAAGGAAGGCCTCTGGGGTTTGTCTGCCTTGGACAAAGGCCACGACTCCCGGGGCGTCCCCGCCACC